CAGTGTGCGCACTCCCTGCTTCCCCTGCAGTGACACAGTGTGCGCACTCCCTGCTTCCCCTGCAGTGACACAGTGTGCGCACTCCCTTTGAATACTTCCACTTAAAAGTCTTTAGAGGTTAGAAAAACCCAGCATCCACAGTTCAGCTCAACTAGCTTCCTCCAGCTAAATCTCTCCACATACAATATAGCCCAGCGTGCCACTGAGCCACAACGACTGAACACATGACACATCTAACCATGCCCTTCCTCTACAGAGGTCACAGGAAGCTTCTTTGGGTGAAAAGTTGAACCAAGCATGTGTAATCAGGGTTGGGAACAGCACCCAATGGCAAGGCGTGAAATGTGACAGCTTTCACCGCGAGGGAGGAACTGTTCTCCATGCAAGGCGGTTTACCACAGCAGCCCTGGGGGTTGGACTGAAGTAATACCTGCAGACTGTCCAAGATGATCCGCAAAGACTGGACTTGCCGCCGGACCGCCCCCGAGAAGCGCTCGTATGTTGCTGCGTCGTACTCACTCATCTGGATCTCCTTCAGCCTACATAGCACCAAGGGAACAAAAGAGTGAATGACTTAGTAAATTCAAAAATGTTATGCCTCCAAGTTAAAAGCAGCAGTTTAGATAATTTTAGTAATATTTCTGCCACAAATGACACTCTCAGATTACTGAGCTGTATGGAAAAAAGTTACTCAAACAAGAGACAGTGATAGAGATTCAGCAGATTGAATGATGAAACAAATCAGATTCTTCTTGTGTTGCTTCAGAAGGAACAGGCTGCTGCCATTTTCTCCAGGAATGTGAAGGAGCCTAGTGGTGGTGGTGGGGGCAGGGTGTCCAGTGCGGCCTGGCAAGTTTGGGTAGGCGTCGCAATGTTGGTTGGCTTTGGTTCACGACACAGAAACAGGCGCCAATCGACATCAGCCAGGAGGTAACAGCGCAGGTCTAACAGTCGCAATTTTACCCGAAACACTATCACCTCTCCAGAACAGCAGAGCTGCATCATCCAGCCCATAATACTGTCCCATATGTGGCTCTTTTCACGATACCCAAAGCACTTTACAGAAGCAACGGGGAGCCACTTCATCCACATGTGAAGCCCCCCGGATGATATGACGGCAGCCATTCTGCACCAGTAAACTCACCACACTGTAGCTAACGTGGTGAAGGGGCAGGAGAGAATTCACTGATTTGATTTAGGGAATGACCAGGAGGTCATATTTGAAAGGGCCATAGTGGGCAATTTAGGCAGGGCAATAAGGTACCACCCCTGCTCTCTTAAAAGATGCCCAGGGATCTTTTACGACCTCAGACAGTCAGGGCCTTGGTTTTACGTCTTATCCGAAGGACAGTACCATTGTTACAGCACAGTGTCCCCATCGCTGCACTGGGGTATTGAGATCCACACTGACCACTGGATGGGCTAACCTCTCCCAACTGCAACCCAGCCTTCCTAGCTGGCTTCCCATCCACGTATAGCCAGGACCACACCTGCTTGGCTTCAGGTGAATTACCCAATCTGCAGGTGGTTACTGTGTTTGAGTTGGAGAACCAGCTAACAAAATAAAGTATGACACTTCAGACAGAACCCTCATTCCCCTCCTCTGTGGCCTTTTTAACACCTTCCTGTTCTGACTCCGGGACCCTTATCGTGCTCCACTGTCTCAGTAGGAATGAAAGGGGGCTTACTGACATTGTTTAACTGGAACTCAGGCTGCACAAATGAAGAAAGCAGGTGGTTATTGTAGCTGTTAGTGACTGTCAGTAGAGAAGCGGGTGGACACAAACCGAAGGTAGATAAAAAACCGCTTCCTTGCGTGTCCCCTATTGATGACATCGATCTAAAGAGGGAAGGCAGCGTGACAGAGATGAGGGACATGACAAACATCACGCTAGCATGAACTAGCATCCGCTAACAGCACAATGTAACAGAGAAATGTACAATCCAGTGAAACAAGTGACAGCTTCAGTCTCCATCTTCTGCATTCAGCTCTGCTGAAGTATGCAGAATAATGCACATTTCCAGTTTTTCAGAATTCTGTTTGTGTGCTGCATACTTTTTCATTTGTTTACTCTATATTTACTTGTTTTGGACTAATGTGTATTTGTCTGTGCTCTATGTATCTTACTTATGTATGCGCAAGAATTCCCCCTGCGATCAATAAAGTTCATCTAATCTGATCGAATCAGTTCCTACTGGTCTATTTTCTACACACATTTTAAGGGGACACCCCACAATAAGCCGGCATTTGTAGATTTCTGGTCACGGTGAAGCAGAGCCATCTTGGCCAACGGCCATTTGTGTCACATGGTAGCAGACGGTACCCAAGACAGACAGACAGACAGCGGGGAGAGGGACGGGGAAACTTCAGAGAGGTTTCAGAAGAGGGGCCCCTGGCAGCAAACAGAGCAGGTGAAGCAGTGCGGGGCGGCGGGGGATGGGATAATGTGGGCAGTGTTGGGGTGGAGGACTGTCCCGGGCGCCCCGGCTGGGGAACAGGGGCCGCCTTCATGGCGGGTCAGAGGGGGTGCTCTCCGACGCTCGTCCCTGGGCCCCGAAGTCACGCAGCCTGCCCTGTGAATTATCGCATTCATCGCGGCCGGCCCAGTGCATGCTTGGCATTTCTGCATGCAGCGAGGCCGTAAACGGCTTCAGCGCAAACCTGAGTCTCCCCTCCGTTTGCTGGGGGCCAGCCATATTAACCTGCACTGCGTGGCCCCCGCCGGGTGCCGCCCAGGGTGTTTAACGGCTGGAAATGTTTTCATAACGCAAAGATCCAGCATCCCACTGATACTTAATGGGAAACCGTGATATGGGACTTGGAATGCAGATGTATCCATGGCCTGTACTGGGTCACACTACTAACATGGAGGTGATGTGTGGCTCAGCGGGTCATGTGGCCATGCCTATGATCGGAAGGTCCCCGGTTCGAACGGCAGTGTCGACAGAGTGATTTTACCATTGGGCCATTAATCTCCAAAGGCACCAGCCCCCTTCACAACTGTAAGTTGCTCTGGATAAAAGTGTCTGTCGAATGACTGAGGTGGGCATGGTGGAGAAGCCTGTACCTTTCTTTAAAAGCCTTCTGGGCCATCTCTCGTGCCGCCCTCTTCACCTCCTCCGGAACAGCGTCTTTCTCGGCCTCTGACACCTGGAACACCGTGTGGCCGGCATCCAGCCGATAAGGGCCACCCATCCCCCCGAGTCCTGCCGTGTCTCTGCCCCCTACAGGAGAACAATGGAAGTCCAGCAGAAGTGACCCAATGAAATATAATTGTAGATTACTGCAAAAAATTTAATCGCTGACATCCTGCAATAAATGATATTGAAATCACAGAAAATCTTATTTTGCAAAGAGAATTTGCAAAATAATTTAGAATATAGCCCTATTCAGATGGGATTAGTTTTACCCAGGGTGGTTCGATATGTGGTTTGACTGGCCGATTCAGACGGGATAAGAAATATGTGCAATTTCCCCAAATTACCAAAGATGAGGGGTAGACTGGCAGCCTAGGAATTGATTGGGGGGGGGTGGGAGAGGTGTATATTTTGCCGATCACAATCAACCGGTTGGACACCAACGAAATAAAGCATTATCCGCTAATCATCTCCTGCCATCGACCTGGAAACATGCCGAGGTCGACGGACAGGTTGGGCGCCTCTGGTATGTAGGCTGTATCACGCCAGGGTTGGGGAAGAAAGACCAGCCCTCACAAGACCGGCCCACCGGGAAAATTCCAGAACTTCTTGATGGCCGGTCTGAGCCAGCCAGAGATTCCGAGACACTAGCACCAGTTAGGAAGCAAATGACAACAGAATTTTTATGACCTATCACTTTAACATGCTGATCAAACACAATAAAAACGGAACCTTTTCTTTCTTACCATACTTCGGCGTACTCAGTTCTGCTGCACTACTCCGCACCTACTCAAAGCCTTGCAGAGGCTGTAGGTTGACATTTATGTGGAAAGCTGAGTACCCAGTCAAGCTCTATTTTTAACGAGTAAATGCTGTTTCCCGTTACAAAAAAGAGGTGTGCTTTCACAGATATGACCTCATCACCTAGACTGGACAACTATTACCAAAGGAGGCTCATGTTCCCTGAAATACAGGGAACATGGGAATACGCTCCTGAATTTTGATTCTGGAGACTATAATAACGACAGACACGGCAGATTCAGACTGGATTAAAATTATTTGCTTTAATTACATTCCATCCCCAGGAAAAACCCATCCCGTCCGATCACACCTTATGGAACAATCTTTGTGGGAAGTCTACCAACCTGTGCCTCCCGCCCACTGGTTCCCTCCTACGTGGGGGGCATTTCTGGGGTCGACCTTGCCGTGCTTTGGGGAGCTCACGTCCAACCCGCTGTCCCTCTGAATGGTAATCTTCGGCAGACATATAGAGCAATGAATAAATAATATTCTTACAAAAAACTTTATAAAAAGTATGTTTGCAGGGAAGCAAGCCTATAATAACTTGGAGTAATGTGTCAGGGTTTGTACCACCAGAACACTGAGTACCAAATTGAAGAATCGCTTCCTTCTCCAAGCTCCTGGCATTTCCAACAACCACACTGCAACCACACTGCACTATTACTGCACTTTATCAGTCACTAAATCAGCATACTGTCTTGTTTTTGTACTGTTTTTTTTTACCATGTTGATCTATCTCAGGGCTCTTCAAATCTGGACCTCGAATCCAAATCCAGGCCTTGTTTTCAATGCTCCCAGGTAGTTGGTTTAATAATTACTGATTCCGATTGGCCACAGAGGCTTCATACCAGCTCACAGGTAAAGGAAGGCTGGAAGATCAGCAGGGCTCGGACCTTGAGGACCGTGATTTGAATAGCCCTGATTTATCTGTTCTAATGTGTTGTTTTACACTGTCTGTACTGTTCTGCACTGTCTTTAGTTATTTTGTAACCATGTGTGCTGAATATGCCATCATTCCAAAGCAGCTGTCACACATGACCAATAAAGACCTTGAATCTTGAATCTAAGTTTAGAAGCCTAGCAACGGAAGACCCACAAGCCCTCACGCCCAATAGAGAATTCCATAATGAGTTCGACCCAAAGGTTAAGTTCAGGGCAACAATCAGAGTCCAACAATGCAGGGCCTTGAATGTGAGCAAAGCAACACGATTATGAAGCACAGACACTCCAACACTGAAGCAAGTGCCGATCTATGATGCACCGAAGCGTACATGCGTACGTTAAACGTTCTTTTGAAGTCAGCAGACACATTAATCCAAAGTGAACAATTGAGAAAACAGGGTCGGTCAGTCAGTCCTTAGGGCAATTAGGGGATAAGAGCCTAGATTAAGAGCCCAAAAGTGAACCAGCTCTGTTAACCATGGGACGACCTTCTAATCACAAGCACACTGCTAAACCCCCAGAGCCACACACTGTCCCCTACAAAAGGCTCCTACAAGCCTGTGTAATATAACAGAGATTTCAAATGACAATGGTCAGACATCACTTAGAATTTCCATGTCTACTCTGTTGAATGTATTGGTCCGTTTGTTTTGGAATGCATTTGTGTTCCTGGGCTTATTCGAGAAGTGATCCAGTGTCCGCAAAGTATTTCGACAGCATGGTCGGCAGATCATCAGGCGATCCATTCAGCACCAACAAGCAGCACAGTAGGATTTACTGACTCATCCATCCCACCGGTTGGACGCTGTACTGTAATACACTCCAAAGCCTTCTAGACATAAGGAACCTTCACATCACGATATCATCCAAATACCACTATAAAAATGCCCCCAAGTACTTTCGGAACGAGGAGTACCACCCACAGGAATATGAAATTCACCTGGTTGATCTCCCACTAGTCCAAATGTTACATGAATCCAAAGGGTAACAGATTTGCGTGCAACACAAGACACGAACTTTCACATAATAAATGACATAACCCTCGCTGGAGGCCCCATCTGGGGAGGTACAGTAAATAAACCAAGATTATTTATGAGTGTTACACCTGTTCCTCATTATTGATTGCATATGAACTGCCGGGTCTTGTTTTTCCTTCCCCTAGGAAACTTGTCAAGACTCCTGACACCAAACCTAAATCCTGAATCCTGCTATGGCTTCTCTGCTTCCTTCCGAATCACACACCCAAACCATAGTGCTTTTTTTCCTCTGTGTTTCATGCGCCTATTTTGTGCTCTGCTGGTCATGTCCCATCCCAGTCGCCAAAAACCCCGAAAATGAAGGAAACACGTTCTCTGATTTACCGGTTCCCTGGTTCTGTTTGCAGTCCCAAAAGAGATAGAGAAGACATTTCTTACAATTTGTGTTTGATGTCTCTGGATAATGACAATGCATTATTCTGACCTCACCAAACATGTATGTTTAATATTGTCTTTTGTTTATGTTTCTAAAACAACTTCTATATTGTGAAGATTAAATTAAAAGCCAGGGTCCCTCTGATCTGATCCTGGCACTATTTTGATGTGCCACCATGAAGGTAAATTGCCTTTTGATGTGGCCCCTCTTCCCCCAGCATTCTATAGACCAGCACCGGGGGTGGGGAACCCCTAGTGTAGACGATGCTGAAATGCTCACGGGGAATTGCGTGAAACTATTACATTACGACTGTAACCCACAGGGCACAAAACAACGCATCAAAACAGCAAGATTATTAAATAAGGAAACAAAAGAAGCCGTGTATCGTGCGAACTCATACGTAATGAGGGGCAATCAGCAGAGACAAATATCAGGTTTCAGTGGAATTCCCCGTTAATAACATGGTTTTGTTGTGAGAAAAACATTAAATAATGTCTAGGAGCAGAAACGCACTTCAGACCATTCCTTACTCTGTACGCACAAGAATTACATCCCTGAACTCCTAGTGGTTCTCGCTTTGCACTATATTTGTGCAATTTTATCCTGCTATGCATGAATATTGTACATATCCATACCATACTTATTCTTCCAGCTGCATCCAAATCTCCATATCCACATTTATATTCAAATATTCATATTTGATTTTTATCTAAGTATTATCCTATGTGCTGTTACTGTGAGTTGAATTACCTAACCTTCAGGAAACACCTGAGTAAGCATCATATTTGTACTCTGTACTGAACTGATACAAATGACAACAAACATTTTTAATCCTTCGAATCCTTTAAAGAAGCTATGCAAAGATCACAAAGCACTAAAGACGACTGTCAGGAGAATGTCACTGTGGTCCACATTTGAAGGAGAAGAAGCAGTACAGTATTAAAGGACAAATGGGGTGATTTTAAGCTTTGTCTTCCTATTTCAGCCGACCCAAACTGAATACTCAACATTGCACAATGTTTTAAAGATGTTAATTATTCTGTTCTACTGTCTTTTTAAACAACTTTACTATGTGTGATTCTTGCACTCAGAGAGCCTGCTATCTCATTTCCTTGTGCATGCGCACAATGATGAGGAGACTGATAAGAGCAGACTGATGTGACACTAACGGCTGTCCCTCAGTGACAATGACAGGCCAGATGAGGTCCTTCAGTGTTCAAGTGCTGGACCGCAAAGCTCCGACAGACGGACCCGAACAAGTGCCATCATAGATCGGCACTTGTTCCGACCATGACCAGATCTATCCAGCTTTCACACCACTGCAGAATTTGTACCTGTTTTTAAAGAAAACAAAGTGGCAGAGAAAACACTAAGAGAACCTTCATGTTCCCGCAATGTCTCGTAGTCCTAGAAATATGTGTCTTTTCTGCAGGTGCACAGTGACGCTCGCCACTCTGTCAGGTGGTTCAGCACCTCGTCCACCATGTGATGATGTGCCTGGCAGATTTTTAGCACGAGCGGCATTGCTCACTATAATTAGTGCCGCTTACAGGAATAAAGCTACAAGCCTCAGGCATCTGATTGGCTCATTGGCTGGACGGCCAATGAACTGCGCTGCTGTCATACTGATGGTAAGGCGCCTACACATACATATAATAACAGGAACACCAGCCACAAAAAGAATACATTAGTACAGCAATAGCATGAACAGTAGAAGTCAAAGGTTTGGACACGTCTACCCACATAAGGTTTATTTGTATTATTTTCTACATTTTACAATAATTCTAAATACGTCAAAACTATAAAACAACATATATGGATTATGCATTGAGCAAAAAGGCATTAAAAAAGTTGCTGAGGGGGGAGCAGCTCTGTGGGGTGGGACTCAGAAGGTTGCTGGTTCAGATCCCCGGGTCGGCAGAGTGATCCCACCACTGGGCCCTTGAGCAAGGCCCATAACCCCAATTGCTCCAGCGACTGGCTGACTCTATTTTCTCCTCTCTCAAACTCCCCTAAAATCATTTATACTGTGTTTAGGTCAGGTGACCAGGTCATGTGACACTATAACTCTCCTTTGTATGCATCTTGGCGTGTTCAAACTTTTCACTGGTACTGCATGTTTGTTTTTATAATCTGAATGATAACATCAGATGGTTTTAATGAATGTTGTCTGTAATTTTGTGAGGTCAAGCATTCTTTAACACTACAAGAAATGCTGTAATTATAATAATAGTAACAAACTGCCACGTGTTTTTTTTATTTATTTCTTTACAGCTCTAATAGATAAAGGGAGTCATGGGTGTAGGTGATCTGTCCATTCTGATCTCTGGTAGTATTCAGTAGCTTTTGCTTACTCATGTAGTAGCTTCACTTAAGCTTGACACTTAGCGTAGATGGCTAGTTTCCATGGCAAGTCCTGCATGTAAGCACGCATGCAGTGCACTTCTGGGATCTGAACCAGTGCCATACTGGTTGTGGGTTTGGTCACTGGTATTGGTTATACCCCTTTGAACGTCTGATCCGCTGCACAGATAAAACACAGAACACCTGATATGACAAACCAGTGCGAACACAAAGCAAACACCCACTCCGCTCATACTGAATTCTCGGCGGCCGGGGGTCGTCCTGTATGTCCTCTGACTGACTTTTAGGGACACACCTTTGTTTCACTTGCAGATATATTCCTCCTTTGGTTAAAAGTAAGGTCACAGGGAGTGCCCCCCCCCAACACTGTCGGAAACTATTTCATTAAAACTACCCACTGGCTGGGTTAATGTTTAATAGTTGTGTCGCCAAACTTCCTCTCAGAGCCACCTACTGCTCTCTTTCTGTTCAACCAGAATGCATCTCCACCAGGATCATCGTGTCCCACTTTGATTCTGTGAGGACATTGCTATGCATCTCCACCAGGATCATCGTGTCCCCCTTTGATTCTGTGAGGACATTGCTATGCATCTCCACCAGGATCATCGTGTCCCCCTTTGATTCTGTGAGGACATTGCTATGCATCTCCACCAGGATCATCGTGTCCCCCTTTGATTCTGTGAGGACATTGCTAGCACTGCTTTGAATCCGATGGCTGAGTTTGCGCAGAATGA